GATGAAAGAATGTCTCACCATACGGAAGCTTTCCGATGACTGGGTTTGTCATTGCACCGGAATGCAAGAAGTTTCCGGTGTTTGCTAGGGAATCACCAAAGCTATATAGATTTTGTCATACTTTAATGGAATTGAGGAAGAAAGTGCTTTGTAGACACAAACGAAAAGAAAGAAGAGAGTTACCATGTCCATAATTTTACAATGATTACGAAAAATAATATTTTTCTTTGTCATCGCAAAGTAATAAGTAGATCACGGTAATATCATGGCCGGCATGTGGAAACAATTAATGTAGTGTCCTTTGGCACTAATTACCCAACCATCTTTCCGCTACAATAATGGTCAACTGAACCCACTCTACCTGTGATGGCTTGACGAAGGTAGAATTTCATGAAACTTCGAATCATATATGTAAGATTCAATAATCTTCCTTGCCTTCATTATACTCCCAAAGGGTTTAATGTATGCACATGAGATCCCTATCTATACGGAAAGTATATTGCAACTAGGAAAGTACAAAGCTAACAACTAAGGGGTTTTTTACAAAAACATTGTAGTTTTGAAAACTATTTACCAAAAGGGGTAGTTTAAAAATTATTTACAAAATAATTAAAAAAAACCCTATTAGCCTAGGAAAGGACTGCAACATTCCCACACGCATTCTTGCCTCATTGTTCATCACGCGTTCGTTCTTCTTCCCTACATGGCCAATTATTGGAACCGTTCATCACAATCTTCTTCAATTTTTCCATCGGTAAGACTTTCTTCTCATTGACTTATTGGTTTATGTTTGTGTGAATTTTTCCTAGAAGGATTTTTGTGGGATAAAAGGACTTTGTTGATTCCTTCACGAATGTACTTCATGTTTTATATTAATTTTAGGGCTTTTAATTTTATTGTTCTTGAGTCCCTTTCATCAATGCGTGTGACTTGAATCAAGATTGATAACATTCAACTCCTTACTGTTAATCATGATAATGTGAATTCTTTCAAAATTTTCTTTTGTATATTTTATAGGTTTTGTAGTAAATGCATTTATGTATAAATTAATGTGTTACATTATTTTAACAATTGTTTTTGTTTCTCTATAGATTTTTATCCACATGACATCAAAATTTGTTACTTTGCTATGTTATTGGGACGGAAAAATTTGTGATGGGAAAGAAGGTATAACTTACAATAAGTATTTGAGTAAAGCTATTAAAGTTCAATGTGGAATACAATTCAATGACCTTATCAATCAAATCCATTTTGCAATATCAATTGACAAACAACAATACCGTATTAAAGTAATTTGCAGATATCCATCGATTGTTGGAAAAGTAATGAAATATATTCCTCTTCCGATCAAAGACAATAATGACATTGAGATCATGTTTGATGTGCTTAGTCTTCATCAAGAATTAAGCAACATTGATCTATACTTAGAGGTTAACGTCAATCGAGATAAAAATCACTTGGATATAACACCCAGGTACTAAAAATCATATTATACATTAAATTTCAAAAGTTTATCGTATATTGTTTCTTTGATGATTTTTGTGAAATTTGTTTGGGGCTACTTCTGTCATATTATGATTTTTGGATGATTTTTGTGAAATATGTTAGGGGATATTGTATAATAAGCTTGAGGCTATCTCTGCCACTGGGAAAAGTTACTAATGTTGTCTATAAAGTATTTCTTTAAAGAAAAAGTCATATAGAATAGGATGTACAGGGAATTAAAAATAGTTCATTTGCTTTACTTGTTATCTATACATGCATTCACCATAAAGACTAAATAAGCAATCCATTTTAGTACGTTCCTATTAATTTTTTCATCTCAATTTTGTAATTATAATTTGTTATTGTTTCCACTTATAATTTTTTGTTTGTTATATTACTCGCAAAACTCAAGAATCAGTTTTGATAGAAGAAGAAAGGAACATTATTTTATTACCTACTGTGAATAATATTGATGTTGTGTCAGACATGATTCACAACAAGGACTTCAACATAATTTCTCAGTTTGCCATTGTGAACAATAGAATGAGTAGCGGATTTGACACAGACAATAAAGGATACGAAAGTGGGGATGAAGATGAAACTGAAAATGGAGGAGATGTAACCTTAGATGGAGCTGACATCGAGGTACCTTCTAATTTTAATAGTTTAGAAAGAATAGATGTGGCTAATGTTGACGATTGGGCGGTGTCACACTTTGAAAGTAAAAGTCGTTTAACTCAAGAATTGGGAGAAAATTCTTTTACGAATAAGGATGAACTTATTAGATCTATTAAGCTTTACATGATCACGAAGCATCGACAATATGAAGTGGTTGAAACATGTCCAACAGTTTGGTAAGATGTATTAAGCTTTAGGTAAGATGTAACTTGTGTTCACAAACTGGTTGTAAGTGGCAATTGCGTGTATGTAAACATAAACGTAGTGGGTATTTTGAGATAACAGGATACATTGGTCCACATACTTGTTTCCAGTATAGGATTACTCAAGATCATCCAAATATGGATGCGAGCTTGATCGCTCAAGAAACTGAACATATTATTAAGGAACAACCATCAATTAGTATTCCTACCCAAGAGTTGAAATAATTGATAAATTAGGATATACTCCTTTGTACAAGAAGGTTTGGGTGGCAAAGCAGAAGGCGATTGAACATATATTTGGAAATTGGGAGGAATCTTATATTTTTTACCGAAATTTTAGGTGGCACTTCAATTTTACAATCTAGGAACTATAGTTGAATGGTGCACTGGTAGATTGAGTAATGTGGATCACATGGATAGTAATATGGATCGAGGGGAGTTGATAAAGTGGAGTCCAGACATGTTTTTTTTTGGGTTTTTGGTCCTTCTATCAATGAATTTGTGCATTGTTGCCCTGTTGTTAGCATTGATGTGGTACATTTATATGGTAAGTATAAGGGAAAGATGATAATTGTAATGGGAGTTGATGGTAACAATCAGATTTTTCCTCTTGCATTTGCTATTGTTGAGAATGAGTCATATAGTAGTTGGTATTGGTTTATTAATCATGTCAAAAAACATGTGGTGAAAGAACGTGATGGCATTTGTTAAATATCTGATTGTCATAGTGGAATCCTAAAGGTAGTTAATGAGCAAGGATTACCATGGTTGGAGCCCCATAGTTTTCACAGGTATTGTATATTTAATTTGGTTAACCACTTTTATGGTACTTTTAATTTATTGTTCACATTTGAAAGGATTTGTGCAGGTACTATTTGCGACATTTTGTCAACGACTTTCATGACAAGTTTCGTAGGTCACATTTAAAAGTTTTTGCTTATCGTGCTGGAACTCAAAATCAAGTTCGTAAGTGTAACACCCCAATTTTCATATATAGATTATATAACAAACAATCGTTCCAACATCTCCCAATATCAATTTTGAAGTTACTTATAGACTAAACTATAGCGGAAGCAAAATAAAATAAAATAAAGTCTTCAACCGAAGAGCTTCGGGTGTTACGTCTTTGCGGAACTCCCTTGTCGTCTTGCTGATCAATCCTTCTCCTTAGCCTTCTTACTGCCACTTGAACGGTTTTGAAACTTCGTTGGTCTTACAAGTCATTTTCCGATATTTAATTACACGTCATAAACCATGTCATTCGTTGACTTTCATTATTCGGTTGACCCTAAATGAGAAGTGAAAATTAGTTGGGTTTTTTTTTAACAAAAAGTTAAGTTCGTTGGGTTTTCTTGAACAGACAAAACATAATTGGGGTTTTTTGAACGGTTTGGAAACTTTGTTGGGCTTATAATTCATTTTCCCGGGAAAAAACAGGTTAGAGGTACCTGCGTCGCTGCTCCTTAAAGAAGGCACAAGTTCCACAGCTTGTCATAAATAGTCCCTGTAGTTATCATGCGAACAAAACCCACCCCACTT